CTGAAGTATACTGAAAGGCCTGTTCCATAAAACAAACAAACAACTAATAAGTGAGAGCTACAGGTGGAGAAAGCTTTATATTTCCCACCTGTTGATGGGACTCTTAGAATGGAGGAAATGATTCGAGTATAAGAGTAAAGAATTCCCGACACTGGAGCACCACCAAAGATGGTGCCAACAAAATACATTAATATGTTGCTAGTAGATGTATAACCACAGGCAAGCTTAAGGAGCTGAGGAACATCACAAAAGAAATGAGGGATTTCTATATCTGAGCAGAATGCAAGTTGTGAGACCATTATCCATTGCACCTGGGCATCCAAAAGACTGATGGAAAATGACACCAGGACCAGCAAGCCACAGAGGCGGGGGCTCATGGTTACTGGGTAGTGCAGAGGGTGACAGATGGCCACCAAGCGGTCATAGGCCATCACAGCCAGCAGCAGGCTGTCCAAACATCCAAAAAGAACAAAAAAAGACACCTGAGTTAGGCAGGCCACATAGGTAATGGATTTGCTGTGTGTGTAGATGTTCACCAGCATCTTGGGGATTGTAGTGGTGCTAAAGCCAATGTCAGCCAAGGACAGGTTGGAAAGGAAGAAGTACATGGGTTTGTGGAGGTGGGAGGCAGAGCTGACTGCTAGGATGATGAGCAGGTTTCCAAGCACTGTGACCAGGTACATGGTCAGGAACAGTCCAAAGAGGATGGGCTGCAGATCCGAATCTTCTGAGAATCCCAGGAGGAAAAATTCCAAGACACCCGTTAGATTCCATAGTTCTACCTGGCAGAGGCATCTTTTAGAAAATAAATAAAAGCTGGAGTAAAGGAAGGAAACATATAGAGACCTACTGTTGTGCCTATATTGTAAATTTAAGCAATTCATAATGAAAATATTGATGCTCAAGGACCATGCATATTTAACACTATTTCTTAGTTGTGGCAAATACATTCTTCATAGAATACTCCCTGTATTGGTTTCAATTATGTTTGCCTGTTTTATATACATCCACTTTAGAAACATTGAGATAAAGAATCTGTGGGAGTGAGGAAATTTATGGATGAAAAAAATTCATAAATATACTAAAGTATTAGTCCTTTGCATTGAATGGAACATAAGATTGATAATCAGATTTCTGATACTGACACTGATACTGATACTGATTTCTGATACTGATTTCTGATAAAATACCTGATAACCTCAACCCTAAAAGAGGAAAGGTTTCTTTGGCCCATAGTTTTGAGGTTCCAGACCATGATCAGTTGTTCCTGTTGCTTTGGAGCTGTGCCACACAATACAACATGGTAGACATGCATACTGAGAATGGCTGCTTATGTCATGGCAGTCAGGAAGCAGAGAGAGAGAAAGATTGGCTGGGGTTCCTACATTCCTTTCAAGACCACGCCCCCAGTGACCTAACTTCCTGTACCTAGGCCCCACCTTTTAAAGATGCCACCACTTTGAAATAGCACCACAAGCCTTCAACAATATGCCTTTTGGGGCACACTTCAGATTCAACTATAGTAAGAAATATCCTTCTCCTTAAAGGAAAACAAAATGTTACAATTTAAAGAACTCCATTAAATTGTCCAGTGTTCTTTATTTTAGCAAAATACATAAAATCCCTACAAGGGACTTTATGTATAATGTATAAATACCCTTTAAGAGCTATGTAAGAAGGAATCTGACTCCACTTTTTCCTGTTAGATTCCTGTGGGTTTGTAAGCTTCACACTTTCTTGTCATCTGGGAGAGGTGATAAGAAATAAGAAAGCTCAGTATTTCCTCCCTCAGAATAGGCAGGAGACTCAAGCCACAGAAGCTCGTGCCCACAACCAGAACTCTCATATCCTAACCACAATGCAAACCACAAGCCAGCCACTTTTCCTGAATGCTCCTACCATTTCAGACAAGCACAATAGGCCTGCTATGTGCTAAACAGACAGGAATTTCTTTCCACAAAGAAACAAAACATTTTATGCTCTGATATGTGCAGCATTGTTAGCTCCCACCTTCAAACCAGATTTTGGGTGAGTGTCCATTATGGTTCAAATGAGAAGTGTCCCCAAAGACTCATGCATTGAGGGCTTGATCCCTGATGTAGAAATGCTCACAGTGGTAACTGGCCCGCGCAGATACTGTCATCAATGCATTAATCCATTGACACATTAATCCATAATGCATTCATAACTGAATGGGATCTTAGGGTATAGGGAAGAAGTAGGTTATTGGGGCAAAACCCTGAAGGGCATATTCCTATCTCTGGTACTTTCCCAGCTCCCCAGCTCTTTCTGTCTCTCTCTGCTTCCTGACTGCCATGAAGGGATCAACGTTCCTTTGCCATGCCCTCTACCATGGAGCCAGACAATTATGAACTGAAACCTCTGAAACTAGAAGCCAAAAGTAAACCTATCTACCTTTAAGTTGTGTATGTCAGGTATTTGTTCCAGTAATAGAAATCTCACTAATGCAAGGTCCATCCTGTTTCTGCAGTACCTATTCCTTGATGCAGCCAGTGGGCACTGAGACAATGACTACTGCCCAGGAATCTGTCTCCTCTTGCTCTGGTGTGTTGAATGAAGGTTGCCCTGCATTTTAAACTGCTGGCTCCTTGCAAGCTTGCACCTTGGGCTGTGCTATGCTGTGTTTAACGAGTCCTTGAACTCATTTTTTATAGATCAAACTGACCTAATGAAAATTTTCTATAATTACTTGGCATAGATCTTAGCTATATCCACCTTTCTCTAATGTATGACATTAACTTGATGACATCTTCCTCCAGGGATATGTCACACATCATTCAAGATACACAGATGCTCAGAAAGACTATCTGGTGTCTCTTCTTTATATTTGTTTTATAATATAATATTTAAAACCCTATTAAGGGGAAAATACTAAATCACATAGAAAATTCATAAAAATCCAGACACATCCTTATTTTTCATGTGCATTTTTCTGAGTAATGAACTTTGATTCACAAGGCACTTAGGAAGAATTCGCACTGAGCAAATGACTCTATCAGGACCTTGTCTTTCCTGGTCACCTCAAAAAAGAGTGAATGGAGGGAAATGATAGCATCTCATTCATTTCTCTAATTATATAGAGATCTCTGAAAGGAAGGAAAGTGCAGGCAAGAAAGCACCCATTGAATGGAAATCATATTGCCAAAAATTGAGCATGGTGGCACATGCCTGTAATCCCAGCACTTGAGAGGCTGAGGCAGGAGGATTGCTCTGAATTTAAGGCCAACCTGGGCTACAAAGTGAGTTGAAATTCAGCCAGAACTGCATAGCAAGACCCTGTCTGAGAAAGACAAAAGAAATCATATTGCTTGGTCTTTGTGAACAACAAAGGATGAGTAATATTTAACAGAGAATTTGTTTGGTCAAACACAGCACAGGCTCCAGTGACTCAGAAAGGATTCAAGCTCTTAGAGCTTTTGCAAATGTGAAGGGGGCCAAGAGATAAAAGGAGGGGAGGAGAAGGGAAAGTAAAAGGAATTAGGATGTGTTATGTCCATGTACCAGCTGCCTATGGTGAATGTAAACCATGATGTACAGAAAACATATACTAATAATATGATATTTAAATAGAATTTCCCAGGTTGTGAGCCAAAATAAATGCTTTTTCAATATAAGTTAAAATTAAAAAAAAAAAGAAATGATGATTCATCTTCCTCCACCTACCGTGAACAGAAAAAAGAAATGAGACACTGGGTTGGCTGGGCACAGTGCTCCCTCGGTGCCCTGTGAATGGAGTTGTGCTACCTGAATCCAGTCTTGACTTCATCCCATTTTACTCCAGAACTTGCTCAAGAGTAAAATGCTGTGTTTCTTTCCCAATTTTAAAATAATGATAATGTGTGCACCAATATCTACAATGGGCTTATGTAGATAGTATGAAAAAAGCTACATAATGCATAGTTCAGAGCCTAGTACTAGGAAACTCTTAGTAAAGTTTCATGATGTTGTGATTATTATATTATAATCACTACCATAACCAGCAGTAGGAGCTTCAGGATCATTTTGAAAGTAAGGGAAGTTTGCAGCGACCCAATTCTTGTTTGTTTTTAAATGTTAAATACCAAGTTTATTTGCAACAGCCAAAACTTGAAAGAACTCAAGTGTCTACACACTGATAGTACCATGCCTGTAGAACAGAATCTATTTAGCAAGAAATATAATTAACTTTGCACATAAACATCATTGATTAATCTAAGAATAATTATGGAACATGAAGAAAATCAGCAAAAACTAAGATTCCTAATGGAAAATTCTACAAAATGCAAATTAATCTATTGTAAAGGAAAGTAAACTAATGATTAGCAGGCTGGGAAGGGAAGAAAATGTACACTGATGTATATTGTCTTGGTTACTTTTCTCTCATTGCTGAGACAAAATACCTGACACTCAAAATTAAGGAAGGAAAGGTTTACTTAGCTTAGTGTTTGTGGAGGTTTCAGTCCATACTTGGCTGGTTGCAAGGCAGGGTGACACATGGCAGAGGTCAACCGTTCATGGAATGGAAGATAGCAAAGCAACAAGAGCAAAAGGGGGAAGCGGAGGCAACCCTCTTTCCCTCTCTTACACTGTATGCAAACTATTCATCCCAGGGCAGGTGTAGCACTTACATACATAATTCCAACATTGGACCATGAATCAATCATAAATCTAGAAGCCCGCCCCATGGCTGCATGAGGATGTGGGGGGACATGCAGACACAAACCATAACATATATGTTCATTATGGGAGGAAGCTATTTCTTGCTTTACTGTGAGGGATATCTATGGAAGCTATACATGGTGGATGAGTAGAGCAGAACTCGAATGTGACTTCTGAGATCCTCAATAGAAAAAGAATATAAACTTTTTAGCCCTCTGAGATAGCATTTACCACACTGCTGCTTTCCTATCTCTCTATCCCAATCTTGCCGCTTGTCTGGAAGAGGAGGAAATAGGGTTCCCAGCAGTCCTATCACCATTTCCGTGTCCCCTGCTACTCACTGGGCTGTGCCTGGTTCTTGCTGAGGCATGACTAGGAGTTTGGAACCACTGCTTTCCAGTGTCTGGTTGAAGATGAGGGTTGAAGATTTGTCTTCCTGGATGACAGAAAGCAGAGTCAGACAGAAACACTTTGATGTAAAGGATGATTTGCAGAAGAGGAGAAACAAGCTTAGACCTCATTTCATAAGACTTTCACAAACCTGAAAGGCTGTGGGCATAGACTGATTTTTTGTACTAGTATGGCCTTGACAGCCTAATGCACAGAACTCACAATTAATCTAATTGGTGCTGTTATCCCAGTCTCTTAGGATTTGTTAAAATTAATGCAAGAGGAAAATAAGAAAAGAGAATTACTTTAA